AAGCCAAAGCAGCACAAACGAAAATTTTTGCTGCACAAACCAGCACAAACGTTTGGCACCAATTTTGTCTAATTTGAAGAAGGTGGGGGGGCTGATTGACCTTTTGACCTTTGCATTTTCATTAATATCTTCAAAGCCAAAGCAGCACAAACGAAAATTTTTGCTGCACAAACCAGCACAAACGTTTGGCACCAATTTTGTCTAATTTGAAGAAGGTGGGGGGGCTGATTGACCTTTTGACCTTTGCATTTTCATTAATATCTTCAAAGCCAAAGCAGCACAAACGAAAGTTTTTGCTGCACAAACCAGCACAAACGTTTGGCACCAATTTTGTCTAATTTGAAGAAGGTGGGGGGGCTGATTGACCTTTTGACCTTTGCATTTTCATTAATATCTTCAAAGCCAAAGCAGCACAAACAAAAATTTTTGCTGCACAAATGGAGCCGAGTTAATTGCCACCCATTTTGTCTGATTTAAATAAGGTGGGGGGGCTGATTGACCTTTGATGACCTTTAGAAACCTTTCTTTATATCTGTAAAATGAAAGCGGCACAAACGAAGATTTTTGCTGCACAAACGTTTGGCACCAATTTAGTCTAATTTAAAGAAGGTGGGGGGGCTGGTTGACCTTTTGACCTTTACATATTCATGAATATCTTCAAATCCAAGCTGCACAAACCAGCACAAACATTTGACTCTAATTTTGTCTGATTTGAAGAAGGTGGGGGGGGGGGGCAGCTTCACTCGGGTAAAAAAATGAACCAATATGAACATTTACACCAAAAAAACTTTAATCAAAAGCTGTCAAAAGCCTCTGAGACTTTATCCATAAGTTAGTTGTTTTTCTCATTTCTCTTACAGTATGTTATTTATTTTCCACTTCCCAGTTTTCTGAGTGGGACTGAGGCGCCATGTTTGCTGGAAAATTGAAAATCTTAAAGTGCCAACAGGCTGCATAAAGTGTTGCGCTCTCTGTCACAGTCCTGTGTAGCTATGTTTACATTAGGCTCCTGATAACGCATCAAAGAGGTAGTTTATCTTAGGGCACAGAGAGAGGATGTTTTATCAACAATGATTTAAGTCTGACACTTCAGGAAGCTGGTTTTAAATGTTTTTTAAGTGTAGCACGCTTGGTTTGGATATAAGCTTCGTATAAACTGTAGAGATTAAAAGCGGAACTCACAAATACTCAAGGGGGTTTTTTCACAGGGAACTCCGGGAAAGTATTACAATTTTTAGCAAACAAAGATTTATTTTAAAAAAATAATAATAATAATAATAAAAAAATCACACTATTACCAAGAATCCAAAGTTTAATTCAATAATATTTCAGTATAAATGATAAATAACCCAAAAAACCTTCACAACCAATTTATAAGTGAACTCAAAGTCTCAATTTATATCTGCAAAAAACAAACAAAAACATCCCTAATAACTGAAAGTCCAAAACTGTCCGTCTCCTTTATTTTTAATAATAATGTCCAAACAGGAGTTCCACATGCTCCAAACCCAAAGTAAAATCCTGGAAGCGTTTGAGTCCAAAGTCCTTTCCCAAACGACAAGCCCCCCCAAAAAAGATTAGTGGTACCACCAAAAATCTCCAAAAAGAAAAATAAGGTCTAGATCTCACCGGAGCGCCTTTCTTTCCCCTGGGCGGCGTCTCCTTGCACCGGCCGGCGTCCTCTGGGTGCAAACTCCGATCAGATTCCTACATGGCTGATCTGCGGCGCTGGGACAATCTCTGACTGTGTTTTATCTTTCTTTATTTATTTTTTGACTTGTATTTATCAGACTACCAGACGAAAACTCCCGCTGCACAGACCTGTCAGCGCGCGTCTCCCTTACCTGTCGAGCCGCGCGCGCCGACGCACACGCCCCTTTTTATTAAGTAATTTCTCCACGCCAGAATAACCCAGCATATTAATTCCCATCATAATTTTCTAACCAGTGGAGATTTGAAATAAAATTACCAATGAACTAACTGTTCTACAAGACAACTTGTTGTTGGTACACTTTAATGTACTTTATGCATAAAGTGAAAAATAACATAGTGGTTATGTTACAAGTGGCTGGGATACATTTCGTTTTTGCAAACACGATATAAAAAAAAATCTATTTTATTATTTAGAAAAAGGAAAATATACGACTGGGTTTACACTGTGAGAGGATTTTATGAATTCAGGAGAATTGATCCAGTAAAACTTCTGTCAAAATGAAAAACTCCACATATAGCTCAGGGTCTGTCCCTTCCCTTCCTGCTGTCTGGGCTCCATTTCCAGACTGGTAATTGGATTTAGACCTGGTTCTTCCAATGCAAATAAAACATAAAAGAATTTCCCCAGAAAACAAACCCGATTCTTGGAAATGGTCCCTGCAGCGTGTTTTATAAGGTCAGTGTGTAGCTGGGTTCTTCTTCTGCAAACAGTTTAATAAAGGCAGCTTTTCTCTGTACCAACATCCACTATTTAAAGGTGACCTGCAGGGTTATTTGAAGTGGAGGAGTAAAAGTAGACTAAAACTTGCTGTGTGAAAGAATCAGCATTACAAAAAATGATAAACTGCAGTTTAAACAAATACTTTACATGGGAATTCAAAATAAATAAGGTAAGTTCACAGAAATATGAATAAATAAAGGGTTCTAGCTCAATTCTATTAATAGATATGTGTCCTTTAAACAAGGGTTGCATCTAACCATTATTTTGCAAATTGATTATTTTTTTTCAATCAATCAATTAATAATCAGCCAACGGTTCCTTCAAGATTTGTTTTATGAAATTAAACCATGTGAAACTAAACAATAGAGATGATTGATATTTTTTTTTATCTTAAATGCAAAATGTTTATATTTATTTTTGTACAATTTTGATATAATTACTTCTCTAAGTGGGGTACTCTCAGCTAAAGCCATGTTTAACAGTCTCTTTACTCCAGTTATCTTCAATTAATTACTAAATTAGTCAATTATTTAAATAATATA